TGGCCCTTCGATTTCATGTGGTGTCACCCAATCCTGTAGCAGTACAAAGTTTCCAAGATGGTACGGGCGACGACATGAAGGCAGGATATTCTCCTCGAGCTGACTTCCGGTCTACGCAATCAACCCGCGCCTTGGCGACTGCGGTGAAGATGATATCCTGGACCGTAGCGACGTTGTCGGAGCTGCTCGATGTTGGAGGTCTTCCAGATCAAGAGTGCTGGTCTCCAGGTAGCTGTCCATGGGCTCCATACAAGAAGTTTCGCAGCTGTTTGGAGGTGACGTGAATTCCATAGGCCTTCTCCAGTCAGGCTGCGATTGGAGATGACTTCATATTTTGGTGTACATGAAGGTGATGGGCGAGAGCCAGCTCCTGCTTATAGAGGAACATCTTGGGTATCTTCCGCCCTGGTACTCGTATCCACGTCCTCTGTCTGGGCTGCGAAAACTTTGCTGATATGTGACTCGGTCGAAATGTCTTTCCCCCCCCCTGTACCCCTCTGCCCTCCTTCCCTCCGCTCACAGCATAAATTTTTGGGTAAAAGTAGGAAAATTTTTGGGAAATTTCGGAAAAGTGGTAGGAGGTTGTGGTCGTATTTTCCTCGCGGTACCCCCTGCTCGAGAGGAGGTCGTACCAATCTCTTAAAAAAAGGGCGGGTCGTACGGATTCGACCAAAATCCCGAACTAATGATGTACCCTGGCTATAGGTTCGGTTTTGATTAACAATGCTTGAGCCATTTTGACTACCTTCCTTCTTAGGTAATATTTCTACTGTGAAATCGTCAAATTTAGCGAGACTAATATACGAGTTTTTATTTTTTTTCCAAAAAAAATCCCCGTTCTGTAGTTGTTGTGGACAGTTTGGGCGGCACGAAAACCCACTCTTCCGCGCAGTCCAAATAGTTTGTTCGAAGCGGTTCAGAAGGGGGTACAACGGGGATATTTTCCAAACAAGCGTTTACTGTGCTTCGTCTGCTTATTAATCCATGACGTCGTTGTGGGTGGGCAGCGTACTTCTTGTCACCACCTGTTCCCCACTTCTGAGCCTGCAACTTGCCTCTGTATTCAGGAGTCTCTTCAGGTTCTCTTCACAGCAGAACCATGAAAATTTCGCTCCTCTCCGCTTCTGAATAGCCCTACGGCGACAGCCTCGCCCCTTCCTCGCGGTCGGATACGACCCCTCCCTCCGCTGTGACTTCCACAACGATGGCGCGCCCTGGTGCCTATCCACCATGAGCAGGGCATAGGAACATAGGCCAGGGCAAATCGCTGTCGGGAAATCCCCAACATAGGGGTGTATTAGGTCGCCGAGGAGATGCGGGGTCTGATTATTTGGCTAAGCCAAGAAAATTTATCCTAGATAGTTGTTTTTTCTTGATCTGATTTTATTTATTGATTGATTTAGATTATTACTTCGGTTTGATTTATTTACTTTCTGGTCTTTACTGGCGCTTGAAAGAGGTGGTTTGACATTTTCAGTTGACTGTTCCTGTTTCATGTGCTACTATATATCCCGGCCCGCCGACCTCGCGACACAAATTTTTTTGGTTCGTAAAAGTAGGTAAAAAGTAGGGAAATTTTCGGTGGAAATTTTGGAAAGTGAGAGGAAGTTGGCGAAAATCTGAGAATTGGTGGAAGGGAGGGGAGGGGGGTTGCGTTTTTCTCGCCTCGCGACTTTTCCCGTTTCACATGTTTTATTTACTCCTCCGGTGAAACTAGCTCCGGATAGATAAGCAAACAAACAAACAAAATTTGGGAAAACCCACTCAGTAGGGATAAACGTTAAAGCAAAGTTGACATTCCATTAAGGCACAGTTCGCGACCGCAAATTGCGGGAAACGGAACTCAAATAGGCACAAAAAAGTGCTAAGTATCTGATTAGCGGAGAAAAGCAGCAGAAAAAGCAGTCGAAATGTTTAGAGGAAGATAACATAGTGGCTACTAGCTAGTAGTTATCCAGCCAGTGGCCAGGTCGGCATGGTGCTAATGGGCCTAATTAGTCAGCTTCTAGCGGAGTTCTTGCCGTTTTTCACATTTTGAAAGTAGCGCAGCCTCAAAAATCGCCTTCCGGATCGTCCGACACATTTGAGAGGTCATAGCCTTATTTTATCGCGGAATGTGCCTTTAAATTTCGAAGTGATATCGGATCGCAACAGCATTTTGTGAAAACATTTCTCCAGGAGTCACCGTAATAATGTTCACTCAAGAATTACCGAAACCAGAACGGTATTGCACCGAAACATCCCATTCTACTGAAGTAAAGCCCAAACCCAATGTGGGTGGGGTTCAAATGCGAGAAGAAAAGATTTTACTTGTTTGCCAGTTTTTTCCTGATAAATATCACCAAAAACTTTACAGAGCGATGGGATCGCGATAACTTCATCGACATCATCTGGCAGAACATTGACAGAGGTAGGTTCTGTCGCGATTGTTTCGCCATAGGGCAGGATATTGAGCCGTGTGAGCCTTAGGCAGCGTTCAGACTTCGCGACGGCAGCGCTTCGGTCGCGCGTTCGACGCGATCAATGCAGTCGAAAGCATGCGCATCGATCGCGTCGAACGCGCGACTGAAGCGCTGCCGTCGCGAAGTCTGAACGCTGCCTTACTGTTCTCCTCTTTTTTTTACAGAATATCCTTTCGCTTCTGAGAACTTGCTGAACCCTTCCAGGTGCGCTAGACCAATTTGGTAAAGTGGATTTGAGTAAAACATCTTACTATGGGCAACCGTACGACTACAAATCTATACTACACTACGATAGCTTGGCATTCAGTAAGAATGGCTTCCCAACGATGTTACCAAAACAGAAATGTAAGTATTACGTTACAGCGTGTTTTATTTTATTATTTATTTATTTTTTTATTAGTTTGTTGTTTTAAAGCGCATAAGATTAGCCGAAATACACGCCATTGAGCACAAAAAATTTGTAGTTAATAACAAGTGTCATGAGTCATAACGATGACGATAACTACAATAACATTAATTATTAGAAATAAAACAAAGTACCTGTTCGGTTCTGTAGGGTCCGGACGGTTGTAAAATGGCGCTCGGTCGAAAAGTAACCAGTGCAAAGAGGCGTTTTGGCTGTGAATTATTGATACGAATCACCGATAGATCGTTGGCGCCGAAGGTCACGGCTGTAGTTGGCGACATCCGAGCTGCAGTACCGCAAACCAGCAGGATAGTTCCTAACTGGTTGACCTGCTGCACTACAGCACTGCCTCGTTGAATCGGCTGGGTCATGGTGCGAATGCCGCGGGCGTAACACCAATTATAACGCCACTTTTCCCGCATCTCAAATGTGCTGAACTAGATCCTAGACTTCAAAAGCGACGCTAACGTCTATATCGAGTTCCAATCGATATGTATGGTTCACATGAGACCGTGACCAGGGGCGGATTACCGGAGAACTTTTCTGAAACGTCGTTCCGTTCCAATGAAAACTAAAGTGCGAGGTTCACAGTTCCCGATCCCTTCCATTTGGACGAATCCGCAGAGAGGAGTTGAATGCGTATCGATCGTGCGAAGCTTATGAATCCAAGAAAAATAAGAACAATGAAGGCCATTCAAAGGAGCGCTCTCCAGCCATTCGATACTCTCTCACTTGAGAACGCTACCTTCTGGACGCCCAGTGCCATTCACCATTAGGCAGCGTTCAGACTTCGCGACGGCAGCGCTTCGGTCGCGCGTTCGACGCGATCGATGCAGTCGAAAGCATGCGCATCGATCGCGTCGAACGCGCGACCGAAGCGCTGCCGTCGCGAAGTCTGAACGCTGCCTGCGAGCGTGCGATTGAGACACATTTCTTAAGGGTAAAGCAAACCTCTTCACGATTCAAGTAATCTTTTTCAGCCGCTACGATTGGTAATGCGAAAGACTTCAGTGACGTCGATTTGGCGAAAATCAATCGGATGTACAGCTGTCCGAGTGAAACGAAGCAACAAACGGCTCCTTTTGCCAGAGCCCAGGTGAGGAGTGCCATAGATTACCGTACTGATACTATAGACATCACCTCTGACCAATTTAGCATAGTCCAATCTACCAAGCGATCAACAAGTACGACGATCGACCGAAACTTCCGCCACAATACTACGACGGAATGCATTCGAACAAACCACAACGTATCCAAGTTTCAAAAAATAATTTTGGAGTAACGGGGTATTACGGCCGGATTATTTTTCTTATAAAATTTCTAGCCTTATCCAACTAGATCACATCGTAACACGTCGGTCAGGGTAGCACGCACTAGTTCGAGGAAATATAAATGTGCGCCCAAAGAGAAAGAGAAAAACCGAAGAAACAGAAAGAAAGTTTTTTTTTAGTTTTTCTTAGTTGTTCATTTGTCTCCTGGCAAAGAAATCGTGACAGTTTGGAAGAGCAGATTACAGAGAGTCGGCTCATATCAATTTCATTTTTACTTAGATGCCTTTTACGCGAAATTTCCCTTCGGAATATGAGTGACGAAGTCGCAGGTGCGCGCGCTGGTTTTTGACCGTTACACTTCGCTTTTCGCCATTTTTCCACTATAGAGCACCCCTACCACCATTTTGACCGAGTACCTGAATTATCATGTCTTACGCCTCTGAGAAGAACAATGAGGTAGCGTTCAGACTTCGCGACTGCAGCGCTTCGGTCGCGCGTTTGGTGCAGTCGATGCCGTAGAAAGCATGCGCATCGATCGTGTCGAACGTGCGACCGAAGAGCTGCCGTCACGAAGTCTGAACGCTGCCTTACCGTACATACAGTTTTTCTATTTAGGAGCGTGTAGTTTGATCTATTTTATTGATATTTATTAAGGATGTGAGGATAAGATCACTGTGTGCTGGTGGACAGCAGATCGATGTCGAGCGCCGGCGATCTACGCCATGATGACTTCGCTTTGTCCAAAAACTTGCGGGTTTTGCTAGTCGTTAGTTATCGATCGACGTGTACTGTATAGATGACGTCATTCCATGTCAGATAGTGACAGCTAGTTGTCAGATTTTTCTCCATTTCGCTCTCTAATCTTGCATTCCATACCCGTGTCCTTTCCCGATGAACTCATCACCTCCTTGTATATACCGTAACCCATAATGCTTTCATTGCTGTTTCAGTCTTTCTTCGCCTTGTTTTCCCTCGTCGATTACTGTATTACGGGTTGTATCTTTTTTTTATTGGTTGCTACTGTAGATCGAAACTTAAATCGCTAGTTGAGTAAATTTCACATTGGTAGTTTGAATGCTGCAAGCAGGGGAGCAGACACTGTCGTTTTCGCTGTAGGAGCTGGGGCGTGTCGAGGAGCTGGGTTTGGCGCTGCGCCACGCCTTCCCTACCAACTGTTGAAAAAGGCAAGCGACAACAACTGGTGGAAAACGAGCTGGCGCCAGTCCAAATCCAGCCTCTCCCCCCGCTTCTCCACCTTTCTAATCCCTGACACACCCAGCGTGTGCAGCGAACATGGCTATACAACCCTTACAATCGGCTAGTTAGTTGACGTGAGAGGCACAGAAACAAAACGACAAGTCGTAGTGTTGCCTTCTACAGTCCTAGCCTTGGAAATGGGTCTTGGTGCTGTAATGCACCAGGACTGCAGCGGGACTGAGCGTGTGTGATGCTACGCACAGCCATCTCCTTAGACGCCTCCTCCGTCGCGCTCACCGTGATTCGGAGCTAACAATCCACCGCATACCTACATTTCACGATCAAGAGAGCGCGTTCCTACGAATCTTTGAAATGAGTACCTTATGCTGGAGGGCACGCTCCGCCCACTGTGGGCGGGCCTTGACATACCAAGTACACGCACAGCATCCGTCAGTGTTCCTCTTTTCTACCAACTTTCTCGCGATCTCCAAACCCTCAAGAGCCGAGATACGGAATTTAGTATGAAGCACCGCCCGTCTCAAACACGCCCTCTCCCCTCACCACTTTCGGGTGCATCACTCCCAAATCTCTGAACACATTATGAAACTTTGCAACATTGCTCATGTGTTTTCCGTAGATCTTGTTCCATCCCTACGCATCCCAACTCCGAGCCGAACCCTACAAGTTGCTTTTCAGGTGAAACAGAATTCTCGGACAAACGGACAAACGTACCAAATTATATCCAGCAGGAATACTGCTGGCCTTGGAGGGGATAGCCAAGAGTGATTCTCACTTCCAGCTCTGAGGAAGATAATGGCGGCGAAATTTAACCGACTA